AGTGTAATTAGAGAAAGCATTAAGGAATCCCCCTTCTACCTTAACTATAGATTTAATCTAACCACTTATAGAAATATATAACTAAGCTTAGCTATTATTAAAGCTATTACCTTAATATAATAAATTAAAGATATTTAAAATCATATATATAAAGAACTTAAATTTATATAACAGCAAATAATAAAGTTTAGTAATTAATAAAGGATTAAGGGACTAACTTTAAAAGAGGGAGATAGCACCTAATTTATATAGCAAAATATTAAAATAAAACAACTAAGCAATAAATTAGACTATAAAAAGCTTAGACCTTTCAAAATCTCATAAGTTATTTCAATAGTTACCTATAAACTTAAACTCTTAGAAACTATAAAGTGTTATCTAGTATTCTATATTTAACTCCTCAAACTAATATTATAGGGATTATAAATAAATAATATTATTATCATAGAAGATAATAAACTAAAACATAAAACAGAATTAATTATTAACTATCTTAGTAAACTAAAAAGATATTAATACCTTATTAAGTAGAAAAGATATAGATATAAAGATAATATATAAGAATTAGTTAAAAATGTTATTAATATAGCAGAAAAACTCATAATCTATTAGTAATAATATTAAGAATAAGAAATAACACATACATCAGCTAAATAAATTATTTTGTTAAATACCTTAAGCTACCTATAAATTAAACACCTTTATAAATATATTAAACTACTAATAGAAGCAGACTGACTAAGATACAAAAAACTATTAGTCTACCTAAAAACCGTAGAATATAACTAAAGCTCCCTTAATAAGAAATTTAAATTGCTAGGATTCTAATTAAGGATAGTCTTAAGGTCTAATATATTAAAACCACCTATAAACTAAACCTCTAACATAGGAGAAGCTACTAGCTCCTCTTTAATAACCTCTTAACCCTTCTAAAACACTATTCTTTTCTATTTATATAAATAATCTAACTATGCTATAGACTTATCTAACTTAGCCTGCGCAGCATATAAAACAGCAGCTTTCTTTTTTAACACCTCCTCTTCAGCTACCTCAGCATCCTCTAAATAAGCAGCCTTATTAAGTAAATAATCTACTATAATAAAGTTTAGTAAAGCATAATAAACTAAAAATATTAAGAAAACCTATAAGCATAAACAGCATCTGCTATTATATTATACATCTATTTTAAATAAATATACTTACTATAAACTTCACTATTAGGGAGAAGCTTATAACACTTTCCTAAAGAATAATAATAAGAATAAAGTATATTAATAATAAAATAAAACTTAGTCATATATAAAGTATAGTTATAATAATAAAGAGTAGAGGAAGCACTTAATTTTAATTTTTAAATATAACCTCATATAATATCAGCATTATAGATAAATTAGGAAGCATAATTAATAGATCCCTAACCTAGGACTAATAGCCTATTTATATTAGGTCTTAAAGATAAAACCTTTAGAGAGGGGACCTAATATTACAACCTAAAAACAAGGATAATAGATAACTAACCTACTTAGATATTAAGCAGCTAGGATAGGATATTTATACTATAAAATCATAAGAATAATAGGGACTTACTTAGAACAGAAGAACTATAACATAAGTTACATAATAATAAAATAAGAAAATAATTAATAGAGTATAAGAAGAAATGCTTAGTAATCAGTTAGTCTTACTAACTGATTATAATCACCTTACACACTTAGGTGATCACCCTAAAGTAGATAAAGGATACTATTTAGAAACTTATATATAGTATAACCTTAAGCCTAGCTTATGGTCAGACTTCTATAGTTCTTTAGCAATCAACTGTTATGGTCAGCTATCCAACAGTAGGGTCTGCTAACAGAAGCTGGGGATTAACATATATAACAGTATACTGGGTTGTGGTCTGAGTTATAGGTTGTAGGCTGTAGTAGATTAGGTCTTTAGAGGCTTAAGGTGATTAGTCTTAGACTTAATAAGTGATTTTATAATAAAAGTAAACTAAGAGTATTTATAAGGATAAATACTAAGTTAATTACTAAAAAGCTATAGAAGTCTAACTATAAGCTAAGCTTAAGGTTATACTATATATAAGTTCTAAATAGTATCCTTTATTTATTTTTATAATTAGTTAGTAAGACTAACTGATCACTAAGCGTTTCCTCTTATACTCTACTGATCGTTTTCTTATCTTATCGTTATATAACTTATACTATAGTTCTTCCATTCTAAGTGAGTCCCTGTTATTCCTATGATCCTGCAGTATAAATATCCTGTCCTAGCCGCCTAACGTCCAAATGGGTCGGTTATCTGTTATCCTTGTTCTTGGGTTGTAACATCAACTTAGTATTTATCCTCACAGATACTCTCAGCTTACCTTTGCTGCAAAACCACTTATTAAGTCTAAGACTGTTCACTTTAGCCTCTAAAGACCTAATCTACTACAAGCCTACAACCTATGACCCAGACCACAACCCAGTGTACTGTTACAACGTGTCAATCCCCAGCTTCTGTTAACAGACCCTATTGTTGGATAGCTGACCGTGATAATATAAGATTTATTTTAGAAAGTTTTAAATTTAAGCTATAATATAATAAGGAGTTATTTCTATTAGTTTAGCTAAATAGCTTAAAAATCCTTTTTATATACTTTATAAGTTAGTTACAGAGGTTATACTATAACCCTCTATATACTTCCCCGTTAGAGTTATATAGTAGTTAATAAAGTGCGCCTCTAGGCGGCAAACTGCAAAGAAGAAAAGTTAGAAGGGAAGAAAGACATGCTCGAGGAAGCTGGGACAGACCGCTTGTTACGGTCAGCTATCCGACAGTAGGGTCTGCTAACAGAAGCTGGGGATTGATACGTTCTAACAGTACACTGGGTCGCGGTCGTAGGTCGTAGTTCGTAGGCTGTAGTAGATCGGTTCTTCAGAGGCCAAGGTGATCAGTCTTAGACTTAATAAGTGATTCGCAGTGAAGGTAAGCTGAGAGTATCCGTGAGGATGAATACTAAGTTGATTGCTGAAGAGCTATAGAAGTTTGACCATAAGCCAGGCTCAGGGTCATACTATATATAAGTCTAGGGTAGTTTCTTTAAACTGAGGACCGATGTCTTCCGACCGGTCCCCAGGTGTGGACCGCTTTCTTCATGTCGGTCCTAGGTCAGGACCGCTTATCTCTCGTCAGTCCTTCTTATCGTCACGTGACCTTTACTATAGTTTTCCCGTTCCGAGTGAGTCCCTGTTGTTCCCGTGATCCTGCAGTACAAATGTCTTATCCTAGCCGCCCGATGCCCAAGTGGGTCGGTCAACTGTTATCCATACATAACGGGTCGCAACACCGCTCTCCTTCTCAAGGACGGTGACGCGAATCCCTGCTTGACCGAGACGCAAGGCAGCAAAGAGGCCAACAGGACCCGCGCTGATGACGAGGACCTCAGCACTAACTGGGAGAGAGCCCATGATGACGGGCAATAATGAAGTATTTTGGGTACGTGGACTGTATCGAAAATGGTTTAGAGGATGACCAAAGGAAGTGATGATCAAAGAAATTGTTCTTTCTTCTTTCCGATCATTTTATGACACCTTATATTACTTTCTTCCCTCACAGACAACTGATTCTATCTGGCTCCATAACGCCGCCTTGCTTCTGCAGGGCAACACAGGGTACAGTATCTACCATGATTGTGATACGACCGCGATGGTTTCCGTGATGAACATTGCCTACGAAACGAGGTACCAGATTTGCATTATCATGGCTTGTCATGATGCGATACCGAACCGTGGCCGAATTCATCAGTTCAGGGCGTACGTAAGCGGGCGGCAATCAGAATATTCGGGGTCTGCCTTAGTTCCGAGCTACTTATCAAGGCACAACGTGGAAAAGCCTTTACTTGGACGGCAGGTGGACCAGGAAGCTCGCCAAACAACGGGAGACTACGGGCTTAGCCGTCGTAAATATCTAGCTAGCAAACTCTATCTGGCACCACGCAGCTGCTTATCGCTGGTCGGCTCGAACAGTGCTGCTGCCCGGACCCCTGTAGTTCCCAGGGTTGTCATTAGACCAGGACCACTCGCCTCGTGGATCTACTGGTTCAAGTCAGTTTTTTTACATGCCACTTAACCATGTTGAGTCAGTTTCGTCTCGGTTTGCCAAGTTCTGGCTCTATCTTCGGGACTGTTGCACGGCAAGTGATACCGCCTCAGTCACAGCCGAGAAATTGCGATGACTTTATCTCGGCATGCTAAGATAATCTCATCGAATGAACGGCATGCTTAGACCCGCTTGCATCGATTCTCTCGTGACATCGCAATAATTTCAATTGACAGTTGACACAACTTGGTCGCGATATAAACAAGCACTGCTGCTGCAAACAAGACAGAAAGAGCATTTCGACAAAAGCCGGACGAGTCAATAGTTGGGCAGACTATCTAAGTGAAAAAAGCATGAAAATTGGTTTTGCTGAGTATCTCTAATTGGATCTGCAACTTGGTGACGAAAACACGTTGCTGCGTTTAATCCAATACGAATGACACCTTTGGGATCACAACTTCAGGCCCAAGACCGGTCGCCTTTGCAGCAGCAAAGCAGCTCGCCGCAACAATAATCCAGCGCAACAATGTACCTCGGCCAGAAGCACTTCCCAGTCTGAATATCTTCCAAGCCCATGATCTCAAACCCAAGACCTGTCTTCCGTGACGATCGAAATCCGGCTTGACATCACTTAGCCACTGTGACATTCTCAGCTCCGACTCCAAGTAGGGCATGTATCGAACACGAAAGATCTTGTCCGCCCAGTTGGGTGTCTCTGCAATTGTGCGACGACGTGTGAAACAGTCAAACGACGCTTTCCCACGGTAAGAGCCAGAGCCAGAGTAACCTACGCCGTCGAAGGGGAAGGTGTGGACCGCGGCGTGCATGAAGGCGTCATTGAGTGTCGCCCCACCAGAGGTAACACTGGAAAGTATTATTCTCAGCATGTCAGTTGTGTCCACAAAGAGCTTTTCCTAGTATGGGCACGATTGCTTACCTTTCTCATTTTCCGATGGACTGCCGAAGGTCATCAGTGCAAGTGGCGTTGATTCGGTCTCATTTGCGATAGCAATCGCATCCTCGAGATTATCGTATGGCACGATGGCCCATATCGGACCAAAGGATTCCTCCTGAACCATAATATCATGAAGATCATCGACAAGAACGGCCGTTGGCTCGATGTAAAGGTCATTGCGGTCAGTGTCTCCCCCCAAAACCTTCTGGCCCCGCGTACTATCAAGCATGTTCTTCATCCTATCAAAGTGTTGGGCTGGGCTCTCCTTGGCGCCTTTGGGGAAGAATTCGGCGTAGGATTCTCGTAGAAACTTGACAAAGTCCTTGACTAGTCCCCTCTCGATGAAAACGTAATTGTGGGACACGCAGACTTGTCCGGCGTTGAGCGTCTTTCCCCACAAGAGCCTTCGGGCAGCAAGACGAAGGTCTGCATTGCTGGTGACAAATGCTGGATTCTTGCCGCCAAGCTCGAGGCACACGGGCGTAAGCGTCTCTGAAGCCTTCCTGGAGATGATCTTGGCAACGTTGACCCCGCCAGTATACAGAATCTTGTCCCATTTCTGGTCCAGGAGAGCAGTGGTCTCAGGCACGGCACCGTTCACGACCTTGTAAGAGTCAGTGTCCAGGTAGTCCACGATGATACCCTTGAGAACCATGGCCGTTGCCGGGGCGTTCTCGGAAGGTTTCACAACAGCGGTGCAGCCGGCGGGTATCGCACCAATGAGGGGACAAATGTTCAGCTGCACCGGAAAGTTGTATGTTCCGATAATAAGAACCGTGCCCAGGGGTTCTTTTCGGATTCGCGGGCGAAGAAGCGAACAGGGAAGGAACACGTCAATGTTCTTGTCGTCCTGTATCCACGTCGCCAAGTTCTGGATGGCGAACATGCAGTCCGAAATGCTCCAGTCAATGTCAGAAACGTGGGCGTCGTGGGGAGGGCGGTTGAGATTGTATTTGAGAGCCTCTCGAAGCTGACCAGTTCTGTCTTTGAGTCCCCAGTACAGCTTTCGAAGTTGAACAAGGCGGTATTCCACATTCTTTGTCTTGCCAGACTTGAAAGTGGCCTTGGCCGCGCGGACAGAAGCTGGTATGCTTGCCACAGGAGTCGATGCAAAAGGCGGAATCTTTGTCGATTCCATTTTTACTTTGTGCGCCATATCGAAAGTGCCTCAGTGGAGCTTTTCGTATGATATGCAAAGGAGAAGACGGCGGAGGACAGAAACGTGTGGTTACAATAGAACGGCTCGCTGCAATGCTTGCTCTAACAGTCGCTGGGGCGTCATTGGCAGTGGTTTACATACAGCTTCTCTTCATGGTATCTAGAGCAATCAATCCCTCCGCTACACGAAGCTAACAAATTCAGTGTCAATGTTTATTCAACTCAGAGGGCGTAAGACGAAATTTTGACCCTGTCGTTTGGCCATGTCGCTGCCCCCGGAGCTGTGGGGCTTGCTTGTAACCCTGTGAGAAAGCGGCCCTTGTGAGTCCCTCATTCAAGGTTGCTGAGAGCGACTATCCTCTTGTCTGTCTAAACAAGACGGGTGCCTGAGAAACGATGCCGTATTTCCTTGGCTGAAGCGACAGGATAATCGTGAAGTGGGTTGTGTCTTCGAAATAGTACGGCAGGGTGCCGATCGGGGGAACTGATTTCTGCGTGGGGGTGCAGCCCACTTGGGCAGGAGTGTTGAATGCATGCTCTATTAGTACCCAACCCTGGACTTTGGTTCCTGACAGCCGCATAAACTTTAAACAGTCGACATGATCGGTAGTCTTTCACGGCAAGTCTTGCACATGAAGATGATTGATAATCAGATGGCATGATCATCCAAAGGCATGGACTTTGGTTTAGGGTTGGGTTGAAACCTGGTGACTTCCTTGCGCCGGATCAACTGACATTCTTTCCTACCACCAATTCTTGAAATCCAACTACTTTCCGGTTTAGATATGCCTTCAATGGTAATGCGACCAAATTTTGTCGCTTCCAACAAGACAGAAATGGCTGATAACCTAGCTATCTCTGATGATGGCAAACTCGAAGGGGACAGGCAGGCAACTCCTGAATGGAAGTGGGAAGACGACCCATCAAATCCATACAACTGGCCCTCGTGGAAAAAGAACGTGCAACTTGCAATGATATCTATTGTAGGCTTTACTTGGTGGGTGAAGCAATTTTTGGTAACAAATTTCCTTTCGCCGACTGATTTTTCTAGTTCTGTTGGCACCTCGATTGTCAGCCCAGCTCGTTCACAGTTCATGGACGAATTTAAGATCTCAAGCACAGCTGCCTTCTTGCCGCTATCATTATATGTCCTTGCACTAGGACTTGGTCCCGTACTCGGCGGGCCCTTATCGGAATCGGCCGGTAGACAGGCTGTCCATATTGTCGCCGTAGTCTTTGGCGGTCTTTTCGCCCTGGGCGCAGGATTCACAGAAACCTTTGCCGGGCTGTGCATACTCAGATTTTTGTCTGGGTTCTTCTACGGGCCTGTTTTGGCCGTAGGCTCTGGTGTCTTGAATGAAACGTACCTGCCTGTTGAGAGGGGGTTACCATCAACAATTTTTATCCTGAGTCCGTTTCTGGGACCTGGCCTCGGGTAAGACGCAGCAAAACTCGCGAACTTGAGGGGTGCTGACATAGGTCGAAGGCCAGTTCTGGGGTCCTTCATAGTTGACAGGAAAGACTGGCGCTGGAGACAGTATACCATCGTGTTCTTCTCCGTATTTTCGGCAATGTGGCTTTTTGTCGCTGGCGAGTCGTATCATCCCGTCTTACTACGACGCCGTCGAAAGCAACTCGGCCTCGATGAACCCGAATCGATCCCCACCTCAACAATGATTCGGCAATTCCTCACTGTTATTCTCTTTCGACCCCTAAGGATGCTTTTCACAGAACCCATCGTGTCAATACTTTCCTTGTATGTGGCATGCATGTTCGGAACACTGTTTATGTTCTTCGGGGCTTTCTTCTACGTTTTCGGAGCGACACATAACTTCAGTCTCACAGAGTCAGGTCTAGTCTTCTTGGCCATTGCATTCGGGTGTGTTCTTGGTTGTGTGACCTTGGTCCTTTGCGACCGATATCTCTACCAGCCTAAAGCTCGAAGCTTTCCGCCAGGCGAGATACCACCAGAGCTTCGACTTTACCCTGCTATGCTGGGATCTTTGGCTCTGCCTATTAGCTTGTTTTGGTTTGGATGGACGGCTCGCTCAGATGTGCATGTTGCCGTGCCGATCGTGGCAGTTGCAGTTTTTGGCTGGGGCAACATCTCATTGACCGTCAGCTCAATTCAATATCTTGGAGACACATATCATCGAACCAATGTCGCAAGTGCAGCGAGTGCTAACAGCCTGGCAAGGTATACCCTTGCTGCCGCCTTCCCGTTCTTTTCTCTCCAAAGTGAGTACTCACTTGTACTCACTTGTTTCTTGATTTCCATTTGAAGACCTCCCACTGATACATGTATGGTGTAGTGTACCAGAGCCTCGGCATAGGTTGGGCCACGAGCCTTCTAGAATTCGTTTCACTCATCTTACTTCCCGGGCCATGGGCATTCTTCAAGTATGGCCAAAACATTCGCCACCGAAGCAAGTATGAAACTGCCAATTATTAGAAAGCTTTTGCTGTCCAGGCGGACAACTACCTGTATTGGGTCAAACAGCTATCGTCCTGTTCAATAGCTTCATCCTTTCTTTCTATAATATATAAATTCCTGTCCATAATATTCTCTTCGTTATCGTCCCCGTCGATGTCATCTCTATCTCTATCGCTCCAATTAGCGTCATTACTATTGCGATTGGCATTGTCGTTCTCGTTATTGTTCTTCGTGTTGTCCTCATCGTTGTCTGTGCCCACCTCCCGCCGGGATAGCAAGTCTATGTTAGAAAGTAACTTTGATTCACTTGATTCTTTGTTCAAATCTCTTTCAAAAAGGCTGCAGAAGTCTGAAATATTTGGTCTTAAGACCAGCATGGCTCTGAAAGCGGCAGCCCTACACTCTGTATAAGTAATTTGCCGGAGATTACCAGGGGAATTATGCGACAAGAAAAGTTGATATTCCCACAGGTCGCCTTGAGATATCAGTTAAATACATTCGATGTTGTGCAGCTAGCAGAAATCTATGATGCACGTGGTCAATACAAGCTTTTGCACCCCATCAGAACCTATGGCTGATATATTTCTAGAACTGGCATGCAGAGATAAGGGTAACCCCCACTCCTCTGTCCCTCAGAAAAATGCTAGATGGAGTGCGTACTCAACCCAAGCTCCGACAAAGTCTCGTCCCACAGACGGTTCATTCTCTTTTGACCAGCTTCATTGTACATGAGCTTAGGATAACTGTGGTTGTGTTAGTAAGACATGTGAAAAACTTCGGCACGAAGTCTCGCGGAGCGGGGACTTACGGCCTGATGACAAAGTCGGTAAAGGAACCGTGTGACTCTTTTCCCAGGACCACTGCCGAATGAAGATATTGCCTGGCGCTATCAACTACTTCTCGCCCAATCACGCGATCCATAACGAACGGGACGATCTTCCAGACACCCGATGCCTCGCGGTTAAGACCGGTGCCTTTGGTAGCGCCGGGGTTGAGGTAGTTGATAGTGACCTCGTCTGCTGTGACGGTCTGCGATAGCTTGGCGACTCCCATTAACAAAAGCAATTTGGTCTTGCCGTAGTGCTGCATTCCGTTGTATCCCTCCTTATTATCGAGTGCATCGAGGAGAGATCCAGATGTCTCCGGCAGTGCAGCCCAGTAGGACATGTCGGAGCCGACAACAGTCAAGCGATTAGGCCGATCTTGAGCCTTGGCCTTTAGGACCGGGACCATAAGGATGGCGAGAAGCATGGTGTTGATGTAGTTGACTTGGAGAGTCACTTCGCGGCCCTTGCCTTCGTTGCTCTTCTCGAACGTCATCTTACCGACACCGGCATTGAGAATGAGAAAGTTGATCCGCTCAAGAGACTCGCAGCGGCGAGCGAAGCTTCGCACTGATGCATTGGATTCCATATCTAGCAGCCAGACTTGGATGGTGGCTGCAGGAAACTGGCGTGCAAGTAACTCCGCTGCGTTGTCGCCCTTGCTCTGTGAGCGAACTGCCAGTATGAGGTGAGTAAGGCCTTTCTGAAGAAATTGCCGGGATGCTTCGAGGCCAATACCAGCATTGGAGCCAGTAATGATGCCCGTCTGGTCTTTGAGGTTGATCGCTTCTGGGATGGGGGGTACGGAGGCGAATACAGCTTTGCGGAAGGATGTCAAAAGGCTCGTCTCCGATGCGACTCGGTCTTGCATTTGCGCGGACATGACGACTATGATTCAAGAAGAACAAATAAAGACAATACAGCAACAGTTGTGTATTGGGATGAGAATTCTTGGTTGATGTTGAGAATGACGAAGTTTGCTGCTGGTGGTGATGGTGATGGGGAGAATGTTGCTAATAAGATGTCTTCTTCTGAGACATCTTTCCACATGAGCGCTCACGACCCTTTTATATTTTGCAATGCTTCTTTTTGATAAATTTTCAAGGACACAAATAGATACCACGAGGAACTTTTCTCATCCATCTTGTTCGTCCCCGGCTTCAGAGCTACGGATTGCGAGATCGCTGAGCAATGTTCTGGCGACGATTCGGAACTTTTCCCCCTACGCTGATTCGTCAAAGATCCCAGAGTCCAGGGGACCTTTTTCGTCGTGAGACAGAACTTTTTTTTACAATGTCATTGGACAGGCTCTCAGTTAGTTCCTGTGGCGCTGACATGGGTGTTCATTCTGAAATTCGTTAGCTTGGATCCTTCGCCGCGCCCCATGCCAGGCATCCACGCCTGTCAGCTGTGGACGAATGGTGTCCTCTGGAAAAGTTCCCTGACGCACCTGAATCACTTATCTCGTCCATGGCCTCTGTGACGGAGGCACAATCCGAGGCTGCGATTCCCGCATGATCACGATGTCCGCACCGGCTTTAATGGCTGCAGGCCAGCGACCGTTGCTCCCAAGAATGCTTCAGTCAGATTCTCCAATGCGCCCAGCTTCGGCACGCGCCGCATTACCGATACAACACGATGAAAGAGAGTGGACGGCCGTGTACCCAATTATTGAGCACATATACGTCAGGGAGCGTAGAAGCCTCAAGCATCTAATGAGAGCAATGGAGGAGGATTACAACTTCAAAGCCACGTAAGTTGCGCGTACACATGTTGCGGACACTGTCTTCTTCGAGGCCCTCATCGGACGCCTGCGACCGTTGTGTTGCTCCTGGCATCGAAGAGACCCCATGTGAGCTGACAAGTGTCCAAAAGAAAAGAGTGCAAATGTACAAAAAACGCTTCACCAAATGGGGATTCCAGAAGAATGTTCGTCGGGAGCGGCGAGGCAAGGATGTCGGTCCTCAATCGACGCGAGATTCTGGGTCGCCGTCAACTGCACTGGTAGAGGCTGCTCCAGTCTCGAGGGCCCCTCGCATCCTTCATCTCAGTGCCTCTGATGCGGCCCAAGTAGCGTTTCTTTCCAGTATCAGAAACTGGACCGTTGCGTTTTTCGACAGGGCCGAATCTGGCACGGTTGGATATTCGCTGCCATCACACCCAGGGGCATCAAGCCCCTCGCCTGAATCGTCAATTAAGCCCCCGCCGCGCGATTTGAACAACCCCGAGCAGCTGAGTTTCGCTTTCAAACTTATACTGGGCCTTCTCGATCGCGATCAGGGCGTCTTGGCTGGCCGTCTAGCTCGTAAGGCGTTCCTCCAGGCAGAAACTCTGCTCGACGCAGAAGGGCCCCTCTTCATTTGGAATACCCTCGAGATCTTCCACAATATCGCCCTCCTCCGCCAGGCAAATCTCGGCCACATACTTTTGCACCATCTCATAAGTCTTGCTGGCAGTAGACCGGTATCAAAGGTACTGCTTCGACTGCAAGACCTGCTGCAGGCATGGCAGCATGACGGCGTTCCTGTCCGGCCGGAAGCGCTCGAGCGAGCGTGGTCGATAAACGCGGATCTGACGTTCTCTCGCTTCGATCCTGATTACCTGTTGCTCTACTACCAGCTGGTCTGGGATTCGGATATTGTTAAACTTGATCCCGAGATCGCGCGTCATTCGGACAAATGGTTCGCCAAAATCCACGACAAGATCAACAAAACCTCTCTCCACGATGACGTTGACGTAGCAACTGACAAGCTCTGGCCGAAGCATGAGCTGACATTCAACGGCATTGGTATCCATGGCGATGGAATATCACAGCCTGCTAACTTCAACCAATTGAAGCAAGAAAGTCTTACAGGGGTCACTCAGATGCTCGACGAGGTCCCCGCCGACTCGACAATGAGGGTGCGTGTCCTCTCAGCATGGTTAAAGAGTCAAGTGCTTCAAGACGACGCCGCAATGCCGGTCCATTCCGGCATGGATATCCCACGCTTACAAGCCCGTATCATGGCTTATATCATCAGAATCATCATGGACTTTGAGACTCAAGGGAGGGAAGATGTAGACTCTGCAGCTGACAGGATGAGGACCATCTTGGCTCTCAGAGAGTATGGCCAAGGCCGGCTGGGATCTCAGATTGTCTATGAGATGTGGCAACTTGAGGACCTGCTTGTCCGCGACGGTCGGGTCGAGGAAGCGGCAGACCTTCGCGCAGAGTCATACAGACGGCTTGAAGAATTCCTGACCGACATCCCAGAGGAACCTCACGGATAAAAGCTGGAGACATGCAGAATTGTCGCCTGCATTACAGGCACATGTCGAATTGTAACTGGCCCCTCAATGAGGCTGCATATCGATATTACGATGACCTGGGTGTGCTCCGCTTGCCTAGGTTAATGCATTTTCTAGTGAATTGGTCCACAATCACAATGTCAGATTTCGCCCCTCCCCAAATTTCGTTTCAAATCGCAGGCCCTCAATGCAATACGCTGGGTTTGAACTAGGGATGAAAGGCTCAGTTAATGCCATAGGAAGACAGAGAGTCTGGTCAGGATAGTTCGAGAAATTCAAACCTCGTCGTAGATGTCCCTCTTTTTCTTCCATGCTGATCTTACATCATGTGTGCCTTCGGATCTCCTTCTGAATCCACGAAACATGCGATCCTGGTCAAACAAGGCCATCCTCCTCAGGCTTCTGAGCGAAGTGGATCTGGTTAGTGTGATGCAGGCCTTCGAGTGAAATGGCTTCTACAGTCTTTACTTTGAGTTAATTTGACCATACTTTCTATCGCTTATGTTGCTCTGTTCTCTTCGTAACCGCTGCCGCTATTTGCCTCCGCCTGTGCCTGCTTGCCTCACCCTCGCGCTTAACCCTTACGGAAAGACTACGTGACTGAATCACTGCGCTGCACCTCATTGAATTTTTCTTCGCGCTCTCGGCCTTCAAATTGAGGGGGCTAGGAGGAGATAAACCTCCTCGTAAACTCTCACTTGACGTGGATTCGATGCCCACTTCACACTTGCATCTTTTGTTTGCCGAATATGCAGCTCACGCCGAAGTCTTTTATATGTGAAGACGTCTCTGCTGCACCATACAACCTCTCCATGCGTCAATGATTTCCCTCCATAGCTATTTCAACTCTTCGCAGGACCTCCAGGCATTTCTCATCTTCGTAACGTCGAGTGACCAGCTGCAGCGAAATGGGTGCGTCTCTGTACATCTCAGGCCCGGTGTAGAGCCTGTGGTCAAACGCATCATCAGGATTACTCGGGATATAAGATTCGTCTGCAAGATCCAGATTCTGGTCGACATGGCTAACTGGAAATGAGATGGCCGGATATTCTAATAAGTTCCATTGCGACGTATAGCACCAGTCCTTGGCCTGGTCATGCCTCGGTGCGCAGCCGGGACCCACGGGGCACAGTATTGCGTCAATAGGGTGGCCGTCATCCTTGCCGGTATCGAGCCAAAGCTGATTGTACATGGCTCTGTAGGAGTTACGACGAGCTTTGAGCTAGGTTGATCGGTTATGTCAGGGATGAAGACATGTGTAACACGCAAAGTTGAACTTACATCCCAGACCTCCTCCACCGTGCGCTGCTTTATGTGCGTCTCTTCCAGCAGCCAAGTCGTTAGCGGGAGCGGCTCTTTGCCACCTGCCTGAATTAGCTCTCCGATGCGGTAGCCTCCGTCCTCGTAGTACAGCGCGCTGGTCAATTGCCAGCACTCGTCGTGGCCATAGGGCTGCCAGCTCATAATCTCAAAGTCCGCCGCGGCACTGAGAGCGTCCACGACCATTGAGAGGCCCCGGAGTATTGGCGGGTGAGGCTTGACGACGCCGTCAGACCACATGACGCCGATCTTGAGCCTTTTGGGGAGTTCCAGCTTTCGCCAAGGGATGGGGAGAAGATTGCTTTCCTGGACCCACGGAGAAGTGTCCAGGTACGATTTCATGAAGAGCTCAATACCCGAGAGTGTCGTTGAGAGCGGGCCGTTGCAACCGATAATGCTGTTCAAAGATATATGAGCATCATCGTTCCAAGAGGTGTTTAGGAGACTCCTCACCCTTCCTGCCCGACTATCACACCCATCCCTCCAGTGTTCCCCACTCGATAGGGGCTCGGCTTCAGTCCGTAGATTCCGTTATTCGCAGCCGGAACGCGAATAGAGCCCCCAATATCGCCTCCCAGACCCTCGAGTGAAATGTTAGCTGAACATCAGCCATGGAGATGAATTCACAGGAAGAGAATGTGGAACGGCGACGTACCGTAGCACAGAAGCCAGACCTTGACTTACCAATGGACTTCCCTTGAATCCCACTAGTGCGCCCTCGCCTCCGGAGCTCCCACCCGCTGTCAAATTTCTGTTCCAAGGGTTCACCGTTCTCCCGTATACTTTACTGTTCGTCTCTAGATGCATAACCGTCTGTGGCTGCGTGGTCCTGGCAAAGATCACCGCGCCGCATTTCTCCTCGAGGATGCGGTTCAGGCTGCAAGGGGGCTCCTGCTGCCGATCGCACCATGCGACAAAGCTGTTACTATTGATCTTGCCCTCGAAGCCGAATTGCTCCTTCACGGAGATGGGCAGGCCGTGGAGTGGGCCGGCCGGTTCCGGGAGAGAGTCCAAGTGCCGAGCCCTAGCGACTGCGCGCGAGTACAAGAGTTCCGTGATACAGTTTACCTGGAGGGTCAGTCAAATCTTTTGCCTTTTTCTAATTGAGATCCAGATCAAAGCACTAGAACTCTTTTTTTGTTTTCAACTTACAGCCTTTTGAGCCAGAGAAGCCCTGGCCAGGAATGCTTTGATGACAGTCTCGCATGCAAGCTCTTTGTCAGTCACTTTTCGCACTAGAGACACCGGATCACACTCAGTGATTGCAATCTCCTCGGGCGTCAGTATTTGCGACGGAATATCCTGGACATTTTGAGGCAGAGGTTCGGGTAAAGGTGTCGGAGGGCGGGCGGCAATGAGACTCTCATCTCTAATAGCAAGAGCCTTCTTCACGAGCTGCTTGGGGTCCATTTTCCACCAATGGCATCAGACAAGATATGGTTTTCGGATTCTCAAGGCAGAAACGATCCCATAAGTGGCGCAGAAAACTATCGACCCTAAATTGTGAGTTTTAGCCTGATAATCATTCTGCCGATTCGGACCCTCACTTATAAGCTGTAACGAAGCCTGCAGTATGGTGCATGGCAACAGATGCCTATGGGTTCCCCACATGGTCCAGGGGGGTTTTGACTCGACCCCCGATGCAATGATAAGCAAGACTTGGTTGACTCGGCCCAGGGCTATCAAACGTATGATAGGGAAGGCCGACCAAGCTGTTGAGATGAGAGTCTGCAGCTTAAGTATGGCTTGGGTCAGGATTGGGATACCAACTACTTTTCTCAATTGGATCGTCTATGCTTTCGCCTCGATAGCACCCCCAACGCGCAAAGAAGTCGTCTAATAAGTGCACCGCAACCGAATCCGACATTTCGCAATGACTTTGACTCCTAAGATAACGGCGGACGACTGCTCCGAGTAGCAAGCTGAAACATCGAGTATCAATTTTGGCCATGCCGAGGCCAATGGACAGACTCTCCACCCATGGGAACGACACATCAGAGATGAATACCTGAAGCTTTCCCCCGACGAAGCGCGCACTACCGAAAAGCATTTGAAGCGCAACTTGGACATGAGACTATTCCCCTCGCTCATGATCATGTACATCCTGAATGATGTCGACCGCAACGCGCTCCCGCTTGCGAAATTGGCGGGAATATCGGAGGAGCTGGGTCTATGATCAACTCAGTTCGGGACTGCAATTTCCATTCTGTTCGTTGGGTATCTGCAAGTGTTCCTTTGAGGTCTTCATATGTCGGGACTGTAGTACTTTTGTTCAAGTAAAGGTCGCCTTCGGGATAAAGCCAATTGTTACTGACGTTACTGACAATACGCGTTTACCAACACTTAGTCTCATCCAAGTCCCGAGTAACCTCTTCCTCTCGAAGCTGCGGCCGTCTCTATACCTCCCAGGTACCATGGCTATGTGGGGTGTCATATCCGGATGCACCGCTGTAGTCCACAATTTCGAGGGCCTCGTCGTGGTCCGCTTCATTCTCGGCTTCTGTGAAGCCCCGTTCTTCCCTGGGGCGGTCTTCCTCTGCTCGTCATGGTACAAGAGAAACGAGCTCGGGCTCCGTGTTGCACTCCTCTTCGGAGGCAGCATGCTCTCGGGTTCTTTCGGGGGGGTCATGGCCATTGGGATTACCGAGCGCATGGCGGGGGTTGGTGGGATCTCGTCATGGAGATGGTGAGTCTTCACCAGGCTTGAAGGACCAGACAATGACTGCGATTTCTGACGCTAATTATCGCTAGGCTCTTCATTATTGAAGGTGCTCAGACTGTAGCTTTTGCCGCCGTTTGCGTATTCACGTTACCTAACTATCCTCATAACACGTGGTGAGACCGCCATCTATGCTCAAGTACTGACGTTCAACTAATTGCCTCGGGTAGGTGGCTCACTGAGAAGGAGGCCATTGTTGCGCAGCATCGTCTTCTTTAAGACCTCCGCGACGCACCGGATGTCTCAGCCACTATGACCGAGGGCTTTACTCTCATGCTCAAGGACACAAAAGTGTGGATCATGATGCTGAACCATTTGCTTATTACCATATGTGCCTCGTTCACCAAGTAAGTCTAGCAAAGTCCCCGTATCAAAGATGTCCCGTGGTCATACCGACTCCCTCTCTCAGTTTCTTTCCCACGATCATGGCAACCCTTGGCTTCTCCCGGAAAATAACCTACGCGATGGTTTCCATCCCCTATCTCACTGGCTTCGTAATCGTCTTGTTCACCTGTTGGCACGCCGACAAGCCCAGGGAGCGGACATTTCACATCGTGGTAAACCTCGCTGTCTGCGTCGTCGGCCTAGTCATCATGAGCGCCACACTAGCTGTTCCAGCGCGCATCATTGCGAGCATCCTCATGATCTCTGGCGTTACGAGCGCTTCCAATATCAATCCGCTTCCAATATCAATCTCGCTTGGATAGGTAGCTCCGTGCCCTCTCCCTCGCCGAAGCGAGCCACCTCTATTGCTTCTATCAGCATGGTGGGAAACATCGGCAATGTCATCGGTGGTTATCTATTCCTCACAAGCCAGGTCAATCGGTATCCCATGGCTGTCGGCGTCGAGGGGGGTGCCGCATTGTTGGGGATAGGGGGCGTTCTGTTCTATAGGCGGTATCTCAAGAGACCGAATGAGAAGTTACAGGCCGGTGATACTAGCGCTATTGATATTGTTGGCATTACGGACTTCAGGTACGTTCTTTGTTATGCTGTTATCGAGCGTATTAATTAGAAAACGTCGGATTTGCCTTGTTTACTTTTCTCTAATTCACTCTTGAATAATGCTGGTACAAACGAGATGGCTCCAAATGCGGTGAATTTCGTAATTCTTAAACCAAGATTCAGTCGTGACTGAAGGTAGTTAACTGTTACGACCTGTAAACAAGGATAACAGTTGAACAACCCACTCGGGCATCGGGCGGCTAGAACAGGACATTTGTACCGCAGGATCATGGGAACAACAGGGACTCACTCGGAACGGAAGAACTATGGTATAAGTCACGTGATGATAAGATAAGAAAACGATCAGTGGAGTACAGAAGGGAACGCTCAGTGATCAGTTGGTCTTGCCAACTGATCGCGATCACCTTACGCACTTAGGTGATCACTCTGGGATAAACTAAGAACACTATTTGGAACTTGTATATAGTATGGCCCTGAGCCTGGCTTATGGTCAGACTTCCATAGCTCTCCAGCAATCAACTTAGTATTCATCCTCATGGATACTCTCAGCTTACCTTCACTGCGAATCACTTGTTGAGTCTAAGACTGATCACCTTAGCCTCTGAAGACCCGATCTACTACAGCCTACGAACTACGACCTACGACCACGACCCAGTGTACTGTTAGAACGTATCAATCCCCAGCTTCTGTTAGCAGACCCTACTGTCGGATAGCTGACCGTAACATTTAGTTATATTTTTATAGCTAAAAATCATAATGTAATATCTCTATATTTCTTTACGATATATATTAGGTTTTTAGAAAACCTTTAGAACTAAGTTCTTATTAAGTTAAATAGGGATTTAACAAGATCACTAAAACCCTAAAAAATAAATATAATATAAAGGAGATTAATAGGATATTTAATAAGAAATATAGTGAATAGTTCTAAGAACTAATCGCTATTATTACCCTTATCTAAGTTATAATATAGTAGTTAAGGAGACTAGCCTAGGTTAGGGTAGAGGAAAAAAGGGTCCTCATGTTCCCCTTAGTTATACAAAAATTCACAAAAGAATTCTTCACAAACTGCAACAGACTAGATATGTCGGATCTGTCACGTCAAGCATCACGGTCTTCGTGATGCCGATAAGTCCACTTCGGCTCTCAAGCCGGCCCCGTGCCTGGAGCCCCGACCCGCAGATCGTATCCACCGGATCCGTATTAGCGGAATGGGGCACTATTGACCTGGACCGCAGCTAAGACCCGTTGTCTGTACAGAGCTGCTGCCTAAAGCGGCCAAGACCAAGCCTGCAATCATTCACAGGGTCGACGTTCTCCCGAATTACTTCAGATGCTTCGTCATATCTTCTTATACCACACGGCACCTTCATTCACGACTATACACCACCATGGGTCGAGAAACTCAGACCTCAACTGGTCATCATGATTCGAGCGTTGCCGGAACCGCAAATACAAGGACCACAGAGACTCGGCGATCCCATAAAAAGTCTCGCAACGGGTGCACCGAGTGCAAACGTCGCCATATCCGCTGCGACGAGCGCCAGCCTTCTTGCGCAAATTGCGAAGTTGCAGAGCGTGCATGCGTCTTCCCGCCGCCCAAGAGGGGCAAGCAGAGACGGAAACGAGGGCAACAGCGTCACGCATCGCAACAGCAGGGACGAGAGACAACAACGAGTCCAACAGTACCCGATTCCACAGAGGGCAATGTAAACAACATTGACGATGCGGAAGAGCATAATACACAGACGCCACTGGCCATTCATCGGCAAGACAGCCACTCGGAACTCGGTCCAGCGGTGGATCAACCCACCATTCCCTTGTTGTTGGAGGACGGTGACCAACCGTCCATAGCCGACCTCGAGCCTACCGCTTCCCATTCACCTTCCGATTACCATCCCGGCTTGATAGGTGTACCAGACGCTGCGTCCAAGGCAATATTTACGCCGCAGCACATGATTTTGATGCACAACGCCCACTCAGTGCCAAACTTCACCGGGCCGAACCGAAGCATAGTGGACATTGCCGTCCGCCACGCTGTCGACTCACCGTACCTCCTCGATGAAATTCTCGCCTTCACGGCCTTCCACATGGTTCATCTGTATCCTGGACCAGCCGTTTGTCTCCAAAATCTGGCCACAGAGCTACAAACACGCGCTCTTGCCTCCATCACTCTCGTCACAGAAACGGTTCCCAAAGATGACAAAGCTACCGCCGTTCCTCGCTTCCTCTTTTCCGCCATCCTAGGCAGACATGTTCTTGCCGACACTCTCGCGCACTACCGCTCTTACTTCCACACATTCATTGACCGACTCGTTGAATGTTTCAATCTCAATCGCGGCATCACCTCCGTCACGCCTCCGGCCAAGGACTATCTATACGACTCCGAGATCCAGCCCTTTCTCAATGTCGTCCTCGAGGCCCACAAAAAGATAGTTTCTCCAGGAACCGAGTGCGATCCTCTTACTCGTCTTTTGGATGATTCTGACCTAAGCGAAACCAGCATGAAGGCATGCCGTCATACGATTGAGCTTTTACAGTGGTCCTTCGACCTCTGTCGAGGCCTCGATGAAGAGGAATATCCCTCAGCGGCCTCGTCGTTCTCTGTGAAGATAGAGGGAAGCTTCGTTGATATGCCGTGGAAACATCGACCAGAGGCTCTAGTAGTTCTCGCCTACTATGGCGTATTGTTGCACCGCTGCCGCAGCTTTTGGGACTTTGGCGATGCTGGCGCCTCAATGATTCGCGCTATTGCCGGGCACCTGGGTAGCTACTGGCAAGGGGTGCTCGAGTGGCCGCTGCGTGTCATTGAAACGGAGTGCAACTCGGAGCCCGTAGCTGAGGCGACGACTCCTGGCACTCTCACAATGACATCGCATGCATCACAGTGATTTTCGATGACGAAGCAAATGGATTTTGGCTGATCATGATTATGCAAACTTTGGGCGTTTCTACTTTGCTAAGGATAGCTCTTAGGGTTTGTGGATATAATATTATCATTTAAGGTGGACTTCATAAAAAATATGAATGGGTACCAGGCATCCATGATGCACACTTAATTAGGCAAAGGCAGGAATATTTTCGAAATGACATGGCGCTCAGCTTGACTAAAATCCAGATATCATGAAGGAAAATGATCCTGCAGCCTAATTACATCGTTGATTTGCATCGCCCTCAATGCTTTTTGTTCGGAATTCCGTTCGCTGGAAACGTCCAAATTACGCGTAATGATTCATGCGTCTTGGTTGCAGTCTATGGTGACTAAGCGATTTTACTGCTAGAATACGCGTATTTTGTGTGAACAGATCGAGCTAGACGGAATGCTTAGCAGGGCCTGGATCCTTTTGATCTTAGATTACAGCCACTAAAGTCTCACTAGTTATGAACTGCTTGGGCCAAGTGACAGAAGTATTAATCGACATTGATAACTTGAATACACGTATTTTGGACATTTGACAAGTACTTGGATTTGTACTAAGTCCAAAGTCTGGTCAGACTCCCTCATGGCCCTTGCTATTGCGCGGGCTAAGCACTCTGACTTCCATATGAGGTACTGCAAACCGGTCAACTAGAAAACTAGAAGCGATGCTACGCGTAAATCTGCTCTCCCCTTTGCAAGTTGAACCCGACATTTCTTGATGCATCCATAAAAGGTCCAGTTCTGACTCCTTCACAACAACACAGCCCGCCACGCTAACAACATAGCCTACAACACACTGACCTGAGCGCAGATCTGCCAGCCTCACGATGATCCTCACCTAGCGCGACGCAGAAGTGTGAATGTTGGCTTGCCTTCTGAAGTTCAAACTCACATAAATAGAGGTTGGTCTGCCCGTGACTCCGTAGTGAAGTATCCAGACAACCCACCCCAAAAAGCTTCTCATCTTCATCATATTTTACAGAACAACAAATTCAAGCGCTGTCACGATGGTCATCCCACGATTTTTGAAGTCAGCAAGCACCACGGCTGCTGCACTACTCCTGTTCGGCAGCGTGCAAGGACAGCCATCAGCAGCAACAAACAACACGCCAGAGCTCTCGGGCTTCCCAGCAGTATGAAATCCCCCCTCCCTTTTCCCCGAGAGACTATGCTTCAGACTTTTCTAACATCAATCCAGTGTGACGCACTTGTAGCCGCCAATCTATCTCACGCTGTTCACTTCCCGTCCTCCCCTCTATACCGATCCCTCGTCGAAAGCTCCTATGCCATCGACACGCGCAAACAGCCCTGGTGCTTCGTTCTCCCAAGCACCACAACTGAGGTTTCTACGGCTCTCACTGCTCTGCGTTCCGCCGGTGGCGGTGCCGGAGACTGGCACATAGCAATTCGCAGCGGCGGGCACGGGGGCGATAACCAGAACAATATCGCCGAGGGCGTGACCATCGACTTGACGCACCTCAACGCCACCACGTACGATGCGACGACCAACGTTGCGAGCGTCGGAACCGGAGCGCGTTGGGGTGCAGTCTATGCCGAGTTGGAAAAGGACGGAGTCACCGTTACGGGCGGGAGAGAGGGAGTCGTTGGTGTTGGTGGGCTCCTTCTCGGCGGCGGTATCTCGTGGTACACGGCGCGTACAGGTTTCGCTTGCGACAGCGTCGTCAACTACGAGGTGGTTCTGGCAGGCGGCACAATTATCAATGCCAACGCATCCGTCCACTCCGACCTTTGGCGGGCTCTAAAGGAGGTAGCAGCAACTTCGGCATCGTCACTAGGTTCGATCTCGAGGCGTTCCCGGCTGAGAACTTGAAAATGGAGACGAGGATTTACGCCCGGGAACACTCCGACAAGCTTATTGACGCGATTGCGGATTTCGCTGGTCTGAATCAGTCAATGGCGGACAATGCATTAATCTCCATGATGACCTACGACCCCAAGATTGAGGACAGCACAATTATGGTAGTCGAGGTCAACACTAGAAACAAGGCCAACAGCACAGCATATGACGCCTTCAACCGTATCCCACTCTTACATCCAGCTACCACGAAATCGGTGTCTCTTGTGGAGGCTGCCAACAGCACTCAGCTTTCCGGGAAAAAACGGTAAGTTCATTAACGACATCCTGTTCGCTCTACGTTGGCTCAACTGACCGTCTTATCTCAGGAACGCTGGGGCCGGAGCTCTGACCATCATCAACGACCCACGAGTTATGCGCTACTGCTTCGAACAATACAACGGTATTGTCGAGGCTATGAAAGCCCTCCTCGGACCGAAGAACTTCACCACGATCCTCGACTTCCAGCCGCTCCCTTCATACTTCGCAGGCATCGGTGTGAAAAAGGGAGGGAACGTGCTTGGACTCGAGCGAGACTCCCGCAATAAGATCCTTTTCGTAATGGGAGTGACTCTGCTGGGCTCTAACAGTGAGGAGCTCTATCCCCGGGTTTACCAACAGGTTGCGGCTATGAACAAGAGGGTAGAGGACTTTTCAAAGTCGATCGGCTGTGACAACGAGTTCAGATATCTCCCGTACGCTGACTCGAGACAAAACGTCATTGGGAGCTATGGCGAAGCCAACGTGGAGCACATCCGCAAGGTTGCCAAGAAGTATGACCCCAATGGTTTCTTCCAGCGCCGGGTGCCTGGTGGCTTCAAGATTAACAGGGTCTGATGAAAAAGCTCTTGCCCTAACCATAGGCCAGCACTCAAGATCATGATGTTCCATAACCTCTCATCGAGAAGTTTTATGGTTGGTGTCAACGACCTATTTTCTCTTCCATGAGATCGACGTTTTAAGCGATGTCTCCTATCATATTCCAGCTCCCTTGTTATAGAGTCTTGCTATCTAAGCGAATACTTCCAGTTAGCTAGAGAAATAATTAAGGTACTTTTATTAGGTCTACTAGTTTGTTGTATCTTGATAAACCTATGTGACCAATCTTCGCTGTCGTCGTTACTATCGTCGTCGTTATAATTACTGTTAGGATCTATGCCTACTGCAAGCCCGGGTAAGTGGGAATAATATCCGTCTGGACAGCCAAACTCTTTTTGTAAATATATTTTCATTTCCTCTTCAAGCCACGCAAAGCATTCCCCGTGAGATGTTGTTCACATCTTCAACAGACATATCTAGGTAATTCCCTCTCTCAAAAGCTAAGATCGAATTACTTTTACTCCTGCAGTATCCATACAGTAGCTTGAATGTCTGTCGTAGTTGTTTGAGGCTAACCAGACTTCTGTTTTCGCTCTGCTTATGTAACATCAAATCTTGCGGGGAAGAGCAGGGGTTGACTGGAATACTGAGCTTTTCCAAAGGCCAGGTGAAGAGAACCATATCATCAACCTGCTTCAAACAGCAACGCAGCTGTGGTCCAAGAGATTAGTTGCCTCTACTCATGTGCGTGAAAGCACGAGACTGCTCCGGCTGATTGCAGCAAAGGCTCAAACGGCCAGACAAGGACGATACCACGTCCCATACCCGGTTCCAAGCTCATCCACCGCTGCCGAAGCAGAAATAGAGAAATATGGGCATTTGGCGCTGCAGCAATATCCCAGCGGGTCAGGAGGTTCTGCAGAATCGGACATTGCTTTCGAAGTCGGGCTTATTGACTGGAGCAACGCTGTGGAAATTGACTGGGTCAGTTAGCAGCTCTGCCAACTAGGAAATGTATTGCTGATAGAACTACAGGACCCAGCCAATTTTTTGTCTTGACTTTGAGACGGTCAATCAAACCATATCAAGGAAATCCGTTCCTTGACACTCAGTGAAGCAGATGGACCGATGGGACGATGAAGAAGGAAACCTGCGGACTAAATTTCAATTTGTCCCTCGCAACAGGAGTCAGGACTTCGCTTGAGACCTGCCTGGCCGGCCCCCTCGAGGCCCATTTGCAGCCAGCTTATCAGCTTGGCCAACTGTTTCGCAGACAGACTCGAAAGCTAGCTTTATCAAGGAACAGCATCCAATTAGACCGGCTTAGCTAGACATACAGATCCCAGGAGCGGCTGAGTGCAGTTTGAGAATAGCGATCCCGCTTCATTGGCCCCGACTGGCAGCGGAGTTAGGTGGAGTACATTCTGCGGGCCTCGGACAAGGCGGATCTAACTATTGCCTAAACAGGTAATCGACACACCCGACCAACTCACTGATGCACCACATACGGGCACAGGAACTGATGATCGGGACACAATGATGCAGATGAATGAGCTGTCTAGTCATTGGCGTAACTGGCGGGATTTTTCTAAGTCCGAAAGCTTAGTATAAAGAAGCTGCTTGTAAGTCTCAGTAGCCCGCGTGTCCTGAGTAGCCTGTCCTCAGCAGGTACTGAATCCTGCCTCTACACTTACAGCATCACCATCTTTCACAATGTCAGACCTTACCATCCCCGAAACCACCACAGCGCTCGTTCTCCCCGCTTTCAACGAGCCGCTCAATTTGGAAAAGACCCCGACGCCAAAGACCACAACTGTCGGGTCGGTGCTGGTCCGTGTCCTGAGCACTTCCGTCCGGCCACACAACCGGGCTGGCTTTTCAGGAAACAGTCCACTCTCCCTCCCCGTCCCGTATAACCCGGGAGACACCGGTGTCGGACGCGTTATCGCTGTCGGCCCCGATGCGGTAGCCATCAAGCCGGGCCAGCTTGTGTATATCAGCGGCTTTTACCTCGCACGAGACGACCCGGAGGGCACCCGAGTTCTCACCGGCCTTCATGACGGCTTTGGCGAACCAGGCCAGGCCAAGCTGTTCAAGCACCTGGGCGGGCTTTGGAGAGATGTAGCCACAGTCCCGCTGGAGAACGCCATCCCCCTCAACGAGAAGCTTCTGGTTGATGAGCTGGGCTACTCTTTCGGAGATCTCAACTACATCCAGCGTCTTTCTGTTGCCTACGGCGGCGTCAGCGCTGCAAATCTCCGTGCCGGGGAAACGGTCATTGTAGCACCGGCCACAGGTCATTTTTCCGGTGCCGTCGCCGAGGTTGCCGCCCAGATCGGCTGCAAGGTCATCGCGCTCTCGCGATCGGCCTCCAAGTTAGAGCCGCTCACGAGTCGCCATCACCGCATCACCGCCCTGGAACTTAGCGGCGATGAAGAGAAGGATGCTGCGGCCATCCGAGCGCTTGCTCCCGGTGGTGCGGATGCCTATATCGACGTTGCGCCGCCTTCTGCCCCGGCTTCACCCCATCACCTGACGGTGTCTCTGGGCTCTCTCCGCTCGTTCGGCCGCGCCGTTTTCCTTGGCTCGATGTTCGATGTAAAGTTCAACTACGTGAGCCTGATGGTTCGCAACATTACCATCAAGGGACAGTACATGTATACTCGTGTGGAGCTGGTGTCTCTGGTCAAGATGATCGAGACTGGAGTAATCAAGCTGGGCAAAGATGCTGGGCATCAGATTGTTGACAGGGGGTTTTCACTAGAAGAATGGGAGGAAGCTGTCACTATTGCTGAGAAGGCTACGAGCTGGGGACAACAAGTGCTAATCTACCCTTAGCAATATTACATAGCTCGATGTGTGTCTTACCAACGACATTCTTTTTCAGCCCCTGCACTGGAATCCAATGTGAAATGTCGACCTGTGTATACGCTACGGCTGGCCGGGTTTGCGGAAACAAAAAGGAATCCGCCCTCGATAGAAGATGGGTACACGGAGCGGATACAGAACGGAAAATAGCCTCACTCAATCTCACGCAATTTGGCATTATTCAGCTGGTAATGCTTTGAACGTCGCCAAGATACAGGCTGCTGCGCAACGCAATCGCTGTCACTGCCACTGCCCACTCGAAAATCCCATTTTGGACAATATTCCTGATGTCGTGATACATGTCACTTCCAACTACTTTCCAAATACTCTGGATGCCAAGCTGGCGCCACCAATGAGAATGCTTTCCGTGGTGCCTTTGCGCTTCTCTCAGAGCAGTTTCGACGCAGCTGGACGTCGCCGGCCTCCTCGGAGGCGGAAAATACGATGATTTCACAAACCGTTCACGATTCAAACGGGCCGATCAAAAGGCCCCGTATGGCTAAGAAAGATGATTGGGTTTTGTGATGGAACCCTCGATATTGCGGCCTAGTCGTTACTCCGCAAATGCAAGTGGGCTCGGATTTCCATACCGCATCCACCCAGAACGGTAAGAGCGCCCTCAATCACCCAATGCCCGAGTATAAGAAGGTTTAGTTCTTGACGTTATGCTTATCTCCATTATACACTCACCTTACGGACGAATCTGAGGAATAACTCGTGCATCTCGGTGCCCTGGAAGAAGCCTGATCAAATTGTCAAGCGACCTGATTTTCATCTGCATAGCACACCCTTCATACAAATATTCCATGTTCTTCCCTTCTACCTTTTCTTTTCATACTCTCAAACTTCCAACACAGAAAACATGAAGCCTCTTTCCATCGCAACTACCCTGGCTGTCCTCGGTGCCTGTGTCGCTGACTGCAATCTTGCTTGCAACGTCCTTGCTGACCTGCCCAAGGGAGTGTCTGGCTCTCCACAGGCTCTATTGAGCGTCCAGCGCGACACCACCGCCATTTGGGCCAAGGCCTATGCCGACAAAGACGTCGAAACGCTCGTCAGCTACGTCGTCGATCCTTACATTCAACATAACCCGGCCGCCCCCTCTGGCAAGGCGATCGCCGAGGCCGGCATGAAGATGATTCTTTCCACGCCCGGTCTGATCAACAACGTAACCCGTATCATTTCGGACCTAAATTTCGCTGTCCTTCACACCCACCGAATTCAACCCAACACGACGGACAAAGCCATCGTCGTCATTGTCCGCCTGGACGGCACCTGCATCATCGAGCACTGGGATGTGCAGCAGATCATGACTCCAAGCACAGTTAATCCCATCGCCTACTTTTGATCCAATTATCAGAAGGACGTTACTGGGAGTGGGGTCGGCAGAGTATTGCACATGCCGACCGCCGTGGCCAACATATTTGGCAACTGCACGACGCGAAGGCCTTCACGATGGGCTATTCCCTGCCCACACACGCTTGCTGCACAGCTTCTCAGTATCTGGAATCCCACTTCCCACTGCAGAGAATGAAATAGAAAGCATCCAATTTTGCATCCGTGCCGGCTCAGTTTCGAGTATGTACTACAAAAAGCGTTGTCGAGTTGGTGCCATTTTGGTACCCCAACTTTGCATTAGATTGGCGAAGATAACAAGGCTCACAAGCCTTCACTGTACCTGTGGCAACTGAACAACTAGAGTGCATAATAAAGTCCATTTCACCAAATGCTCCCCTTTTACTTTCCAACTCAAAGCCAAAGTAGAAGGCTCTGGGTGTTGCCCCAAATCTTCCCCGGACGCCATCTGATGTTTTCAATTTGTCCCACTCAATCGTCGATTTATAACAACCCTCATGCTACCAGAAACTTTCCATCTTGACAGGCCTTCAACCACCCAAAGGAATTCTCAGCACACGCCATCTACCAACACGTTCAAATTCTAGCCGCTCAGTCGACAGCCGTGGTTGAATTACTGTAACCAGCTCCACCCCAAAGCACCTGTAGCTTAGAACCGGCGCAGTCGCCGTTCGGAAACGAAAGTCCTATCGCCGTTGTGGAGCCGAGCCGATGCGTGAGAGTGGGTAAACCGACGCTATGTCCACGACGCCGGAATCCCCGGATGGAGCGGCCATCAGGAAGTTGTGACCATGACAAGGTTGTTCCGGCTCCACAGGTGATTGCAACGCCCCGAAAACTGCAGTTCCGGTTGCTGAACAGCCATAAGCGGATGGAGAAATTGGAATTAGTTGCACGAACCGGCTGCTTTAACGTAGATAAGTATAACGCAACCGGTTGTGTTATTCAACATTTCCATCTTTGTCTCCTAGTCTGAATTTTCCATCCCCAATATCTGCTCAATTATCTATCCAAAGGCGAATTTTATCATGTCTCTCCAAATAGCAGGGTTCAACGTTGAAGTCAAGCCAAGCGTGCCTCCTGAACATGAGGCTGCGGGTGTTTACGACAAATTCAACCCGTCGACTCGGAAGCTGCCCAAAGGACACCGCCGAACAGTAGAGAATAAGGCCTTTGAAGCCAACACAATCTTCGAAAAAGATGTTGCAATGCCAATGAGAGACGGCATCAAGCTCTACTGTGACGTTTTCCGCCCCGACACTGCGGAGAAGGTGCCGGCAATTCTCATCTGGAGCCCCTACGGCAAGTCGGGCAACGGTAATAGCGACTTGTTCTCGGCACAAGAAGTCCATTACTAAGATTCCGAATAGGTCCCCATGGTTTAGGTATGCTGCCCGGCCGTTTCGGTGTTCCAATGTCGGAAGTCTCTGACTACGAAAAGTTCGAAGGTTTAGACCCCGCTACGTGGACTGCGAGAGGCTATGCCATCGTAAATGTAGACCTTCGGGGCACTTGGGATTCCGAGGGCATTACACCGTGAGTAGTCCGCCTTTCCTTTCGACTTTCCCTCGACTTTGTCTTCCATCAAATGTTCCCCGGTGTACCAAACTAATTTCGATTATCAAAGATGGCTGGGAGATCAAGATGGCAAAGATGGATACGACGTAGTTGAGTACATCGCCAAGCTCAATTGGTGCACGGGCAAGGTAGCTTTTGGAGGCAACAGCTGGCTCGCCATGGTACAGTGGGTAATCGCAGCCCAGCGACCGCCATCGTTAGCCGCGATCGCGCCATGGGAAGGGAACTCGGACTTTTATCGAGATACCCTTTGCCGAGGCGGAGTACCATACCCATATGATGCCATGTGGGGACTGTTACAAGACACTATGGTTGGTCGCATGGGAACCGAGGCTCCCATCCCTATGCTGGAAAAGTATCCGTTATACAACGACTACTGGGAAGATAAGAGAGCGAAGTTGGAGAACATCGACGTGCCTACCTATGTTTTGGCGAGCTACTCCAGCGCCCTCCACACCACCGGTTCGATTCGAGGGTACAACCACATTTCCTCGAAGGACAAGTGGTAAGTACGGAGACTGTCTGGCCTGTGAAGTGCATTGCTGAACAGTTACTCAGGCTTCGGATTCACCCTAAGCAGGAATGGTCAGATTTGTATGACCCAGAGAATGTCAATGACTTGACAAAGTTCTACGACTACTTCGTCAAAGGGAAGGAAAACGATTGGGGAAGCACGCCTTCTGTGCGGGTTTCACTGCTAGGTTTCAACAAAGTAAGTTTTGGAAGACATTTGAGGGCCTTCAATCGAAGAAGATCGCAATATCTGACTATAACGTGCAGCCTAATGTTGTCAATATTCCTTTTCCGTCATACCCAATCCCAGAGTCTGCCATTGCACGGACTAGGCTCTACCTGGGAGATGACAAAAAGCTCGGAATAGTACCATCCAAAAGCGCCGGGACTGTATCGTATGACGCAACCTTTTCTCCCAAGAATGGACCTCTCCAGGGCGATGAGGAGCTATTCTTCAGTTACAAGTTTACTAAGGAGACTTGGCTGCTTGGTTATTCGTGGATAGTCCTCAACATAGCCAACGAGAGCGAAGACGATATCGACGTCTTTGTGCAACTCGGAAAATCCGATGTCTCTGGCCAGCAGCTCATCAACATGAACGTACCCTTGGAGGATTTGGTACCGCCTGCCAAGAGCCCCTCTGAGGTGGCGGACTCATGCTTCCTCAAGTATCTCGGGCCAACTGGCGCCCTTCGAGGAAGTCATGCAGTCACCAAAGTGAAGAATAAGTTCAGCGGAGACTGGCCCGAGTACACCAACACTTCGAGAAAAGCCATTCCTGCTGGTACAGTCACCAAACTCGAGATTCCAATTTGGCCGACGGGGATGATCTACGGCCCTGGGGAGTCGTTGACTCTCAAGGTCTCCGGGCATTACATGAGCTATATGGAGTTTCCTCACTTGTATGGCGCCTCTCATCGGAATAAGGGACGCCATACCGTTCACTTTGGCGGTGATACTGAGAGTTATCTTGTTTTGCCATTGACGGATCCGATCTCTAAGTAGGCATACATATTTGAATTAAATGAGACTTTTCTCGATGCGAATTTTCATTAGATAGATGAAATTCGTCGCAGAATGGGTTTCAATCAACTGTGTATGTTTGGAGCGATCCCTGTTTAGATGAGCGAGTGTCAAGTGTCGACTCGACCCTCACTGATCAGTTTCTGCATATCCAAATAAACATTATTTGCGTCAAGAAATCAATACACCGTAGCGTTGAAGCCTTTCTCGGTGCTAGTAAGGATAAATGATCCATGACCGTAATAAATGTGTGAGTTTCCCGTGCAGGTTGTAGTCAGACGGCCCATAGATATTATCAAGACTTACCAAGACACATCGCATTGAAACAAAACGTTATCAATGAGAGGTATTTTATATCATAGATTGAATAACAGAAATTCCGAGAATCCTTCGCCAATACCCTCTCATGATTGTCTTGTCTCGCGATTGCCCTCCATGCGATGAAGCCATCGGGCCGGATAAGAATGGCTTGACCAGCTCGTAATCTACACTTCTCCTCGACCAATCCAGATGCGTCTCTATATGGGGCAGATTGCGCGTTCAAGACAGCAACGTCGATCTCAACTGTCCTAATCCTTTTCGCCGCTGCGACCCACGGTGAATCCGGCTGAGTAGTGACCACCAAGAAGTTCTTTCGGACAAGATCCAATGTCGAGATTTGTCTACCCGGTATTCCAACGTCTTCCAAGAAAACATGAGGAAATCTTGAACCAGGGAAAGCCGTTGGGTAGTGCGGATCATCGTAAAGCTCATCGGGCTGATGATAGCTCTCCTCAGGGACGAATGCCCCACTTGAATAGCGGTATCCCAGCTCCACTGAGACGTCAGAAGCCTCTGGCGCCGGTGGTTGTTGGAGTGCGACCCGATTCTGAAAGCGAGCAGTTGCTTGATTGACGGTAAACTCGTCAATGAATTGCCTCTCTTTGTTGTATGAGTCCAGGAGCGAAGATGAGGCCCTTCCTGTCAAGACGTAGGCCAGTTTCCAGGCTAAATTGTGAGCATCCTATATGCGAATGTGTCAGATTTTGGAACTCATCAAAATTAAGAGGCTTACCGCAATACCCGTATTCCCCCCAGCCCTCCGGTTGGTGGCATAACGTGAGCAGAGTCTCCAGCAAGGAACACGCGGCCGGCTTTACTAGCCATTCGATCGGCAGTATAAGACGCCATTGTCCAATAATTCACAGTATGCATGTCGACGCAGACCTCATCCGCTCGAAGCCCCGCGCAGTCGTAAAAGCTTTTTCTGGCTTCCTCGACAGTCACACTGCCAGGAGGAAAGTCTGACCTTTCGCCAACGCTGTTTATCATCAGAAGGCCTTGTCTGCCCCCATCATCCAAACGGAAACCTCCGTTGATTTTATCATTAGCAACGTAAACGACGCCATGAACCAGTCTTTCTTTGACAAAAGGGCCTAGATCAGATCTGAAACCAACACTGAAGCTGTTGCGCAGAACGCCTGGCCCTTCCCACCTGATGCCTTCTTTATGACGAGTCGGACTCCGGTGGCCACCGCACGCAACTAAGTATGGTGTCTTGTACTTCCTTGTCTCGTTTGTCTTATGGTTCTTGACAACGACGATAACACCATCTTTGTGCTCCTCATAGCAGAGGACCTCGTGGCTGTAAAGCTGAGTACTGCCGAAATCACTCGCATGCGAACCAAGGATGGGTTCAAACATGCTCTGCGCCATCCAGATCCAAGAAGACGGCGTGATTTGCTTCGTGATATCTGGGTCGTGCTTCTGGAGTACTTGAATGACATTGCCACCTACGAGCTTGTCTGCAAGAAGCATCCCGGCATTTGAATCAAATTGCTGACTGCTTTGCTCGCGGGCAAAGCTTTCCAGCCCGATCTGTCGGAGGATTTCGCAAGTCCGGAAATTTAGCCCCGCTGCGCGAGGTTGAGAACTCTCGGACGCATGTCGATCAAAAGAGACCGATTTGATCCTGGCAATGATTAGCTCCTGGTTGACTACGAGAATCACAATCGCAGTTTATCACCCATGGTATCCCAATAGCAAGCCCAGCGCCTTTCCCACCATGCTCGACCCGATTATGATTACGGGCCATTCTTCTTTCTCTAGAGGTATGCTGGAATGATCCATATCGATAAATCGATCCCTCTGTAGGTTCCCCTGAGAAAAGGTATCATCTTGTTGCTGGAAGGCATTGGTCATGATTGCACTCTCAAATTGTTGCGTTATTGATTGGGATCGCATGAATCGTTGAAGCCGCTAGGGACGAAGTCTTTCTCGGATTTCAGCCTTTGCTTTCATAAATTAGCATGAGACGATTCCTAAGGTACCAACATAGAAGGCACACCCAAACGTAAAGGCCGCTATCTCCGGGCGGTATTGGAGAATTGCAATGGCTTTACTAGGCCACCTCGGAACACTGCATTCCGTCGGTCGGGCCGGGGTGGAGGGCCGATGTCCCCACCTGTGTCGGACTGACAGCGGCCCCACAGCAAGGGTGAGATCAAAGCGAGTCCCCCCAACGCCTTCTATAATCCTGGCTCAATTGGTTCAGGAGTTCACCTCCGGCTGTTGTGACGATGTCTCTAAGCTGCCACATCAGTATGATCTGTAGGATCCACAATTGACGCATGTTGAAATGCGCGCCTACGGATGGTATCTTATGGTACTGATGAGTTCAAGAAGCATCAAGCATCGCGAATCTTGAGTAAAATGAATTATCCTTTTGGTTTGGGGAGGTAATTCAGAATAAGAGTACTTCAAGTCCTTCATATCATGACATCGGATTGAAGGAGTCAAATTTTAACGAGAGGGCCTTGAGAAATAAAACCCGTAGCGAAGTGGTTCCAGAAATGTGTATTACGCTACAAACATCTCACTCATGATCATGATTATGCGAAAAAGTCGATCAAATTCAAAGCCTAGCAGAAGGTCCAAAGCTCGCTCCCAAATCTTCTTCCAAAGCCCTCCGAGCCTCGAGCGTGGCGTACGAACTCCACGTATACTCAAACATGTTCTTCGGAAGGCGAGCATCGGGGACGTATCGTTGGAGCTCTGGCATCTTCTCGGCACGCCTATCGTCACTGGTGCTTGACATGACCATGACAGTGATTGTGCGCGCATATCTGACCTTGTTGAACAGCTGTAGTCTTCGGTTGACCTGACTGGGCAAGGTGTCGTATGGCAATAGGGCACCCAAAGCCGCGCCGTCTTCAAGCGCTTGTGCGCCACCCTGGCCTTAATCTGCGTTTTACCATCAGCCAAGCCTCAATAATTAAAGCTGTGACGAGACATACGGGGGAGCATTGGATGGGCTGCATCACCAACCAAGACTGTCTTGCCTCGGTAGAATGTTTTTGGGGGCTCACGCGTTGCCAGGCTCCAAAGTTTCAAATCTTCTCCCAGGCGACACATCTCAATCAGCTCCGGTCCAAAGTCTCGGTATGTGTGCAGCAAATCTTCCATATTGCCTCCCGAGAGCCAGGAAGATTCGGTCTCTAGGCTATCGTTCTCAGCAGGATGGATGGCGACAACATTGAGGAGAGTTTTGGATCGGCAGGGATAGACAACCAAGCGCCGATCGGCTCCCAGAAAGACATGTTGATCATCCAGACCCAAATCCTCGAAGAAAGGCCTCGCTAGAGGGCTAGCGTTGATCTTGTCCATTGAGACTAAGAATCGGAAGTTATTCTGTCCTGTAGACTTGCGCTTCGGCTGCTCTAGCGTCACCGCAGAAACGACTTTCGACTGATCAATGGGATATGCGTCAGTGATCATTCCAAAACGGAACGCGCAAAGTGGCCTCGAAACGCACATGTACCCCATCAGCACCGATAAGTAGATCGGCCCTGTACCTAGTGCCATCTTCCAAAAGAATTTCGGCGTTTTCGAAATCCTAGGCGTCGAAAACGTGGTTAATTATGCAAACACCGAGAGGACAAGGAATAATCGGCAGGCGAGAGGAGGCGATAAAACTTACAGCCCATACAACACGGCTATGAAGATTGATATTGAGGTTTTGCCCGTAGGGCTCAGTATCAGCTAGCTTCCGAAGGGTATTGTGCAAATCGACTCGGTGAGTCAAAAGCCACTCGTCACGAATATTGAGCTTTTGATGCATATCCTTAGTGGCCTACGAACGTTCACATTTGTTAGCTCTTTCTACATGTTATAATGGAAAGCTTACAATGGCGACGAATCTGGAGTTGCCCGACTTATCGTAAGCCGTGATGCTGTTGCAGTAAACGTAGTTCAGGTCGTTAAAATCGCATCCCCATCCTTTCAATACTCGAGAGCCGTTGGGCGGAAGGTGGATCGCAGCACCTATCTCGTTAAGAAAAGTGGATTGCTCGAAGAGCTTGCAATATCACGTTATCATCGCTATGACTCAACATTGGATTAATATACTACCTACCTCAACATGATGCCCTTGACGCGTCAAAGAGATGGCGCATGCAAGACCCCCAATTCCAGCACCGACGACGATGATGTTAAGAGGCATTGGAATATTCGACGTGGAAACTCTCTCGGAGGGAGAATTTGGCAAGTGGAATCAAGGCTTTGAGTGAGACAGAAGAAAGTTTGGTACTGTATAGAACCTGAACGTATGCACCTTGGCAAGACCATGCGTACTAAGTATTCTTCATAGGCTATGGGGAAAGGTTTGTATTTCCTAATGCTACCTGTGGCACTTCGAAGGCCTACTCTCGCCCTACCAATCGTATTGCATGTCTTTCAACTCCTCAGGGCGTCATTCCATAGACTAACTTGCAGTGGCGGAGTTGAGTGGATGGTGAGCATACGGCGGTCGGCCCCGCCACTTCCCCTCTCCTGGGTACACGAGTGCCAACGACCCCCGCTCGGCATCCCCACAAAGCCGATGATATCACATTTACCCCTGGAACGAGGCCTGAGATGTTGTCATTGGAAAGTACAAGCGGCATCCACAGTTAACCTGAGAAATTCTGCCAACTTCAAAACCGCAGCAGGAAGACCTTTCGTCTGCTTTAGACAAACTTTGGCGTTTGAAACCTGTGCCTCGGCTTCTTGAAGTTGGTATCAACCAAGATTTCGAATATACCCAAAAATACTATTCTCAACTCCACTGTCCAAAATGGTTACAGAAAACGAAATCACGACGATGTTCGAGCCACTTGCCAGAGGCGACATGGCATCCTTCCTTGCCAACATAGAGCCTGATGTGGACTGGACGGTGAAAGGTTAGTGCCAAAGATTTAATTCAAGTCCATAGATAATTCTCTAACAAGGGTTGACAGGGGCACATTGTAAGATATCCGGCCACTATAAATCCCTAGCGGCATTTCAGGAGGGAACCAAGCCTCTATCCGCAACTTGGGCCGGGCCATTGCACCTCGAGGTGCAGAACATTATTGTCAGTGGGAACCAGGCGGCTGTAGAGCTGAAAGCAGTCAAAACTCGGATCAAGAATGGACAACCGTTCCCCAATGAGTATACTTGGATCCTTGGGTTCAATGAGAAAGGCAAAGTCGCTACTGTACGGGCATATATGGATACGTAAGTAAACCCGCTGTGTGTGCGTCCGTTTGCATTGTAGTGCTGACTGTTCTTCACAGGGATCTTGTAACCCGTGTAATTGACTCTGTGGCTTCCTGAGAAGACGCATCCGGATCAAGAGTCACTTGCTGAGACCAGGTGGTGTGGCCGGTTTAACCTAGTGTGCATACATTTGGTCTTGTGTAGGAGAAAGAGATGAAAATGAAACTGGCGCACTCTCTCTCACTGGTTCTGCTTCAAACTTGTTAGATCCTATCTGGGCCCATCTTCAATTATCTGATCAGCGGTAGACATCTCTCGATGATCCGTTTCCTACGATCTAGTATGTTTAGGGTTGGCTCATTGTGACGTCGCCTCCAGTGCAACTCGGGTCTTGGCTTTCTGAGGCTAATGGACAGCGCCCCACGGCCGTTTTGTGTCTTTTACAACAGGCGCATGTCGTTCTCAAGATGGGAAGAGGCTTGATGGTCACCGATAGAACCTCTAACAGGCCATCCGGTCCGGCCGTTTGGTTTGGATTTGAACTAGTGAGACAGTAATATGATCACGGAAGCTGCTCCGGCGCGATTACCCAGGACAGTAGCTAGACTGGGTCCCATTTTCATGAGACAAATGACAAGTAGTTCCCTAACTGACGACATGAAAGACTACTCCATCCGTCTAATAACCAGTTGCCAATGTCGTTCAGCTATCTTTTGCTTTGTTCTATCATTCCTATCCTCTCTTAGGCAACATCTCGGTAGGCACTCCCTTCTCCGTAACGTCCATCCCATCCTTGGTTTTCTTCTGTCCTGGGAGGAGAACGAATACGATGCGAGCAGGCTTGTCTGAAACATTGTTCCATTGATGCATTGTCTTGGTGCTCGATTAGCAACATGTCAAATGTGGCGAATGGATCACCTACTGCCTGTTGAACGACAATATCTCCCGCCCGTAAGTTAGTTCGCGATCCATCTTCAAGCAATAGCTCCAGCTCGCCCTCCATGACTATACCATAGTCAAGAGAAGCCGTTCTATGATTGTGTCCCTGAGAATGTGGAGGAAACTCGACCGCGCGGATTAAAGATCCGTGGGTGTAAATGATCGGCACGGCGTCGGGTTTTTCGCCCTGGTACTCGGCGGGATACTCGTGGTTTTTCCATATAGTGACGGCCTGGCTGCCCCACCCATCCTCGAACTGAAGCTCCTCATTTATTAGGATTGAGGACTTCTCGTTCTTGTGGTGGGTTACAATACGCCGGAAAGGAGTCTGGGCTTGATTATCCATTGTTCCGATATACGGCCAAAATCCCATTGTGTTGATATGATAGTTTGGCCTTGGTGATGTGATCAGGAAACTGGGACAGGATGTCTTGATGTCGTATGCAGCGCCTCCGTACTTCTTCGCGTAAGAGTCACTAATATGGGCAGGATGTGTTTGGACGTGGGCCACTTCCACTTATTCTAGGGTGATGAACACCTTGAAAGGATGTTGGATCAGTCGAAACTGTACCAAACGTATTCCTTTCTTAGCTCGGCTCCCCACACGGCACCGCCGGCACGTTCTACTCAACACCGGGCAGTGCATCAATAGCGAAACAGGTGACATCTGGATTGATAAGGTTGAGATACATGAATTGCCGCCCCACATGTATCAGTGCGGGGTTATGCAGACTATTGGGGTCGGCTTGTTAACGCTGCGATAATGTTTAGAATGATCGGTAGTTAAAGTTGCTACATGATCTATCTCATTTGGCCTGATTCGGACAATGCCAGCTACGCTCGATATTCACAAGAGTTACTACATTTCCTGCGCTCAGGGGCCTATGCAGTTTGGAAGAGGATAGACATTTCGCGTTTTACATTTGCAATGTTCAGTAATCATACTGCCCTTGCAACATATCAACCAAAAGGCTGCGGTCGTACATTTTACGGCCGCTTGAGAAAATTCTGGATAACACGCCGAACAGCTACTGAAGCTCCAGTGATTGTAAGCAGTCCAATAGCTAAGCCTATGAGTAGGCCTCGCTCAAAGTAACTAAGACGTCCACCTTTCGGTTGTTTGATCTTTCCCAGCGGCAGAGTGTGAGCGAGCACTGGCCACAGCACATTCCGTCCTGATGATGGTTTCGGCGAAGCCTTTGGAGGCCCCTGCCGAATCGGCTTATTCAAAGAAAAGGACTCGGGGGAGTACCAAATTTTGTCTGATTTCGATTGCGATGAAGGCGATGTTTCGAAAACTGGATGGACAGATTTGATTAGAAAGCCCTGCCGACCGTTTTGGGTACCGTCTTGATCTTACCTAGGGACCACTGAGGCACTTCGTTAACACAGACCTGCAGCGTCTTTGCGAATGAACCGACGTAGAGGCCGGCTTTACCGTCGCCAAAAGCATACACTATCTCTGAGGGCCCGGCTTTGTTCCTGTATCTACAAGTCAGCAGAGGCATAGGAGTCTCCTTGGAATGATTGTTTTTCAACTTACAGCTTATTTATGATGTCAATGCCATGATCCATGCTACTGATTGGAATGAGCAGAATTCCGCGATCGCTCATAGTCATCGACTGAGCCACGGCACCAATGCTGTCTACTGTAATGGAGCTAAGGGTCGCAGGGTTAGCTAGACTGGTGTGGAAGTGAAAGCTCTGGGATGGGTGCACTCACTCTGAAGATTCTAGAGCAATCACTGAAGCGAAGGTTTCGTGGCCGATTGCCTTGTTCACTAAAGAGGGGAAGACTGTTTGAAGGAGTTTGCAAAGCTGTGGCGAGCTCTGCCAATCGTTGGCAACCTCGAGGCGGCGAATCGAGGCTGGGCTAGTTCGAACAAGGTAGCTCTCTAGGTCTTTCGCCTTCGATTCGTCTACGAAGCAAAGTCGAGGTACTCTGGAAGGATTATGACGAGGCGCGCAAAGTACTGCGTGGTAAAGATGTTTTGCGACTGCCTCGACGTCACGCGTGCTGCGATCCACAAAGACCGCGGGAAATCCAGTTGCTGGTGAATGGATTCTGATGGTGGGATTGGTTATGAAGAGCCCATTCCGCAGATCATTCCAGTGACTCGAATTCTGGAGGACAGCAACCTCGAAGCGCATCGAACAAAGTTGCTCACGAGTATCGCTAGAATCTTCGGGGGCAATTGCCACGGCTTCAACGTCCAGACTTGCTGAAATGATTCTTCCCAGCTCCGTATTGAGAATAGGGAGCCCAGAAAGAGCCAGCACCAACACCGCACTACCAGCTGCTACGGCGGCAGCTGGTGGAATGAGGGTGCTTGCAACCGGTACAAACGGGTTTGCGTCAATCAAAGTCGGGCCAAGAGGAACGCTATTATCCATGTTACTGGAACCTTTTCTCACCGCGGCTTCTTTCGTGAGCGTCGCTGGGAAGTCAAGGACATCGTAATGGTGTTTGATATTTTCGAGAACCAGTTGAAGCTCTGCAGCCGCGCTTTCTTCGCTGGACTTCAATTCTGCGGGCAAAGCAATGTTAATGGTCTGGTAAATGAAAGGTCTAGACGTTTTCAGCTACCTTGCATAATGGTTGCGATCAGTTGTTTGGACGACTTTTTGACGTTGCCGTGCAGGAGGGCAAGCTGCTTTTGGCGCTCAAGAACATTTTCAAGCCGCCCCTCGGTCCACGCTGCGTGGACAGCGCTGTACAAATTCGCGACTGACGCCATGATGCGGAGGATGCTAGCTTCTTGTTTTTGTTCAAGGCGATTCGCGATACATCGCAAAAGAAGAATATCTTGTGCGGCTTTTGTGATGTCGAACGTGCTGACTGTTGGGAGTATCGGCAAGCTCACACAGAGGGAGATCGGCTCGGCTCCACGCGCCGCCCAGGCGACTGTGGGAACCATGCAGAAAAAACACCAGGTAGTGCAAGTCTACTGAAGTAAATTGGACTGGTCCAAGAAAATGACAACGCGGCGCAACGCGCATCTCCCAACATTGCCTTTTATTTTATGTTCGACGATCTGAAATTGA